TTTCTCATCTGCTCTGGGTTGCAGTTCTCCAAAATACGCTGTTCCCTGGAAACAGCCGGGACCAAGGCTGGGCAGCGAATTCGAGCTGTATTCTGAACGCACAATGAAGTGAACTTTGTGGCCACCTGGGAGAAAACAGCCCATGGCAGGAGGCCATTCTCAAAGCATCTGCATTCATTCATGCATTTTTGCTGCTCCTCTTCTTAGGAAACTCAGGATGTATTTACACGACTAATCTGCTTTCTGCAGCAGGCTTCAGGGGAAGCAGGGAAGGCTTCTAATTAGAAAGCAGAATTCCCTGAAACCGTGCACAGCAGTTGGACATCACCGGATGCAATCGCATTTGACTTGCGTGGAAACAAAATCTACATGGAGCACACCAAAGTTAGAACACACAAATTAACCTGGAGATCGGCCGTGGGGGCGTCCGCGGTCCTGGCACACACGGCGCGCCTTGGGGAAACGAGGGACCAGCCTTCTCTTCGCTGGAGCGGGCAAGTAGCTGTCACGGCCGGCAGCCATACATCACGGCCACCGCCACCTCCTCCTCCTCCTCCGTGGAGTTGCTCAGCCCTTTTTAGGGCCACCCAGAGGAGTAGCCGACGCTGCACGGATTTGTTTCCACAGCACAAAAGAGGCGTCACACATCCAGCATGCCCCGGTCGAGAGTCCATGCCCTGCCAAGGCTGCAGCTGGAGCTGAGCTCCGACAGCGAAAGCAACCAAGAACGGAAAGGACGGTGGAAACGGCCAGTGCATTCCTGCGCACAAGCATCGGTGTGCCTGGTCCATTAGGCACCAGCAACTGCCCGGCCCCTTGCTGGATGGTGGCCAGCACATTTATGAGTGTTCGGAGCCGTCTCTGGACATTAAAAGAATGATTTAAAAGCATGGCAAAGATCAGCAGGAAGAAAGCAGCCCTCCCCCCAACAGTTAGGGTCTGATCTAGAAGATTTAAGTAGGCCTGGCTGTGGTTGAACGAAGGCATGGGGCAAAACGGGGGTGTCGGGGCGGCGGCGCTGCATTGCTCAGGCCGGGGCGCCCTTCCCGGCTGCGATGAGGTTGAGGGCTCCAGGGAGTGCAGTGGGAAGCGAACGAGGGGCAGCCGTGGCCACGGGCCAGCGCGGCATCTCCGGGCCTTTGCGTGGGACCATGGCTTCCCAGCTGCTTTCGTGGCAGCAGCACACGGCTTGGAGGGAAAATGCGGTTGCCTCACGGCCCCCGTGGAGAGCACTGTGGAAAGGAGAAAAAATAAATGCCAAAGCGTCTCGTGGGAAAGCGTGAAGCCTGTCACGGATTTGGGGGGGGGAAGCCGTGGAAGTCACGATCACGGGCACGCCAGCGCTGCTTGCGAACCGTGCGTCACGGAAAATGAACCGCACTTTGCCTCTTGCCACTTCCTGTTAGAAAAACAGCCACAGGAAAACTTAATGGAGCATCTAATTAAATAGCCACGGCGTGCCGAAGTTCTAGCGGGCAAAAGCAGCAGCGGTTTGAGCAGGTGCTCGACACCACGTGAGCTCCCACCGGTTCGATGTAGTTAAACCCAACTCCTGATGGCGTAACCTGCACAGCGATACAGTCTAGCCCTTGAGGGAAGGCAGGTTACATCAACCTCTCCCAAGCCACGATCTGAAGAACGGGCTCCAGTGATGCCAGACGAAAACTGGAGCAAAGTCCGGGAAGAAAATTCAAGCTACAGAGCGGAGGGAATGCTTGAAAACTGGCAATGTGATCAACCCTGATCCTCACCAGTAAATACAAAAATAAAATAGCTGGGGGGAACCAGCGCCGTGTGCTCAGGAGTGAGACGTCCAGTTCGGAAGCTAGTTCAGAAAAGTGGAGCAGCCGGAGCTCATGGAGCTGAAGGAGGGGCAGGGCCAGCCAGGAAGAAGCCCCCCTTTTCCTTCGAGCAACAAGAGGGTGGATGGCCTGAAAGGCCTCAAACAAGCGAAAGCAAGTTACGCAGAGGACAAATGCAGTACAAGCAGCAGCCGCAGCAGCAGCCCCTTTCTATGGCACAGGCTGTTTGCGTTTACTCAGCAATTCACCTCAATTTTCCTGCAGTTTGATTAGCCTCTCCTTTCCCCCAAGTTGCCAACTGGGCAATTTAATTCGTCACTCATACCGGTCCGGCGCCTGCTGCCCCACCATACCTTGGTCAGCTGGATCGCCTGCCCCCTCGGCAGCAGAAGCCTGGGGCCCACAAGGAAAGGCAGCCCAGCCTGGGAACGGGCCGTTGCGCTTTCCTCCGTGCCCTTAGGAGCCCTTTGTTGCCAGCACCCAGACTCCCGAAGGCGGCCTGGGGAACACGGTGGGCCCGTGGCATGCCGAGGGTTGCAGCCCGGCCCGCCCGGTCCGGAGGGCTCTGGCTTGGAGAAGGCCAGGCGGCGGCCCCTCTGTGCCCGCAGGCTTCGCGTGCCACCACGAGGCTTGCGCTAGAACCCTTGCGCCGTGGCAGGAAGCCCAGTGGGTCCTGCTGTGGGTTGGCTGGATCAGGCATAACCCCCAAGACAGGACGGGATGTGGGGCAGGGAACACAGCTCCTGGGGAACCGGCCCGAACCGGCAAGTGGCTGGGCCGAGCCTCGCCTGCCTTCACCCCTTTTCAGAGGTGCTTCCGCAGTCCGAGGCAGAGCTGGATGGAGGCTGCAGCAAAGAGTGCCTCCGCCACGAGCTCGCAGCAGCCCAGTCACTCTGGAAACGCAGGGGCGGGGGAACTCGGAGGTCGCTGCAAACCCTCCCGGACCCCGGGCCTCCCCAGAGAACCCAAGGCGGCCATTGGACTCCTCTTGGAATTGAGTTTGTTCTGCGCTCGGTTTTTACGCATGCACTTTCTTACGAGGCCTCTGAGCTCCGTCTAAGGGGAGCGTGGCAAGGGCAGCCGTGACCTTCCCAGACTCGCCCGGCCTTTGCCGTCGTGCAGAGGAGATGGGGCCCCATCGTCCCAACACGCCCATGAGCTGCGCGGGGTGACCAGCGTGGAGGAGGCGCCGTCGCAGGTCAGTCGCTGCAGCCGGCATGGCTGTGTTGCCCCGCAGGATGGCAAACACAGAACCTTTCCAGTGCAACAGGCCACAGCTGAGCTGGCCACCCTGGCTGGGGATGCTGGGAGCCGCAGTCCAGCACCAGCTTGGGGAAAGAAGCTTGCAGGCTTTTTCTCCCCCCGTGTTTTCGAAGTGTGTACACCTAGGATGATTTAAGTGTACCTGCAGTTGGAGCAGGCCGGTCTGTACACCGAAACATCACAGATGCACACGTGCGTGGGGCCGTGCCTCACGGCACACCCGTCGAGCGAGCGTGCTCCCGTTTGCCTCTGTGCTTCTGACCCTCATCCGGTCCAAAGAGGTACGTCGCACCCGCCAGTCTCGGCTGCACCCTGCCTCGATTTCCGCCATCTCCCGCTCCCCGCCTGCCGCCTTCCCTGCCCCAAGGCCTCAAAATGGAGCTCGCAGACTAATAATCCAGCACTAATCCTACCAAATCTCATCACGGCAAATGGCGGCTGTCTGCTCGTGTGTGGACGGCAGGGGCCGTTTGCCCGCCCCCCCCCCATGAACACCCATCCTCGAGGGAGCCCCCTCACGGTTCCTCGGGGCTCCTCTCCGATTCTCTTCCTCTCCGCCTCACCGGGCGGAGGCCGCTGCCCGTTGGCCAAGCTGCACCGTGGGCTCCCGGAGCACCGCCAGCAGGGAATCGCTCCCGACGGGGCGTAATCCTCGTTCGTTCCGCGAGTCGGCTGGCATCCGTGATGCGTGGTTAGGCGGGGGGATTATGGGAAGGAGGGTAGATGGGCCCACCGCTGGCAGCCCCCGCTGGGGAAGCAGAACAAAAGATCGAGACTCCCCGCGACTTCACTGCCAAAGAGCGGCACTGGCTGGCAATGGCGCGGTCCGGCTCCTGGGGCCCCGAGCCGTTCCCTGGCGGAGGAGGCCCTCCCAGCGCACACGGCGGCTCGGCCGGGCAAGCCCCTCAGCAGCTTGCCAGAGGCCCCGACGGACGGGGCAGGCTGCTCTGCGGGGGGCCGAGGATGCGCAGCTCGGCCTGGCTCCGTGCGGGGCCCCCAGGGGGCTTGCTGCCCCTACTCTCTCCGGGAGCGTTAGATGGGTGGATGAAGGGGTGCTCCCCCTCAACGGCCTTGCAGGTGGTTATTCCATTGCTTTCACGCCCCGCCATTCCTCCTCCCGTGAGCTACTCGGGGCATCATACAAGGGTCCCCTACTGTCCATTTATTCCCTGATTTCTTTTCAAATTTATATGCCACTCAAGGGCAGGGGACGAGGGAGGGAAATCTGCTGGAACCGTTGATTCAGTAAAGCTGATTCATCCTCACAACAAACTTGCAAGGTAGGACAGGCTGAGAAACAGCAGGTCAAACACCCTGGACGTGGAATACAAGTTTCAAGTGATCAGAAGCCTGGTTCCAGCCGAACATCAGGAAGAACTTCCTGACTCCGAGAGCAGCATGAGAACGGAAGCGGCTGGCTAGCGGGGTGGTGGTCTCCCCACATTGCGGGGGGGAATCCAAAAGCCATGTCGGGGACGCTTTAACTGGGAGCCCTGCACTGCTCAAGGAGTCCGGCCTGATGGCTTTCCTGGCCCCTTCCAGCCGGACTGGTCCATAATTCTATGAGAATGAATGCAGTCCGTGGGAGCTGGGGGTGGGGGGGACTCATCAGGCCACCAAGCCAGGGGACCCCCCCCCACATAGGGAGATGCTGCTTAAGGGAGGACCGTCCTGTGCCCAGCAGTGTCCCCAGGGACAGGCAGCATAGCCAAAAAGCTTGGGGGGGGGTGGCGGCACCTGCCCCCCTTCCAAGCCTCTTGCTGGCAGAGATGGCTAATTGGGCGCAGAGCCGCCCGGTCCTTTCAAGGCCGGCGGTGCCCAGGCTCGTTCGCTGTGGGGCGGGCAGTGGGGGAGCCGGCTTGGCACCGAGGCCTCCGAGCGGCTCCGCACCCCGCCGGCAGCCCGCCCCAGCCACGCCGTTTCTTGTCTCCCCAGGAGAAGAAAGGCCAGGAGGTCCAGAAGGGCCCGGAAGTGGAGACCGCCAAGCTGGACAAGCTGCTGAACCTGGTGAGGGAGCCGGCGGCCAAAGCAAGCAAGTGAGCCGGAGCCGCGCACGCCCGCCCCTGCCCGCCCGCCCCCCCCCGGGGGCCTGCGGAGCGCCAGCCCCGGAACAGGCGAGCCTTTGTCCGAGCCGGGCCTGCGTGGACAGCTGCGCGCCGGCCTCGTTCTGACACAAAGAGGCTTTATCTGGGCTTCTGCGGCCAGAGAATAAAAGTGGAGAATTGGCAGCAGAGCGGAGTGGATGGCCGCGTCCCACCCCTGCGCTCCCGCCGACGCTCCGGGCCCTCCGGCTGAGCCGCGCGGACCTGGCTGGCCTGCGAAGCCCGTGGGGCGAAGGGCCGGGCCGAGCAGCGCAGCCCTCCGGATCCCCGAGCGGCCCCCAAGGCGGGCCAGGCAGGGTGCCTGGCAGCTGGCCACCTGGCCCCCTTGTCCTGGCCCCAACAGGGGCAGCCAGCGGTTCCGCATCCTCCGCCGGCTCCCCGCCCCCCCCCGGCCCCGGAAACCCAGTGGTTTTCTCTGGAGACAGAAACCAGACCAGAGCTTGAAGCTTTCTGCTCCAAAGGGAGCGTTTATTATTCCAGCTAAATCAGTCAGGAAGGGACCCGTACACCCAGGGGCGGGGGGTCATTAGCATGAAAAGGGGACAAGCCAGCCTGGCTCTTAACAATGCAGGCAGGCAGGCAGCCACAGAGACCCCCAGGGGCCCCCTGCTGCGCCCCTCCAGCGCTGGAAGCCCTGCCGGGCCAGGCCGGGCGCCTCATCCCCGCCCCACCTCACTCCTCCCAGCCGTGGCTCTGCTCTGGGGGCCGGGCTCCCCCCACCCACAGCGCTCTCCTGCTCGCCAAACCGACCGGCCACGCCAGCCTGCCAGCCCCTTCACCTTGGGCTGCTGCTCGGCTGCGGGAGCAGGAGGGAGGGAGGGCCGGTGGGCGCGAGCGCCCCCCCGCGGTGCTGCCCAGTTCTTCAGGGCTGGTGGTGGGACGAGTGCTGGGACGGGGGGCCTACAAAAAGCCATGCCCTGTGCAACAGGAGCGGCCCGGGGGGACTGCCACCACGCGACCGGGAGGAGCTGCGAAAACGGGTGGCCAGACAGGCCTCCGCTGCACCCGTGCTGCTGCAGCCCAAAGGGCTGCGGCAGGAAGCGAGATTCTAGGTGCTCCCGCCCCCCCAGTGCAGGACTCTCATCGGGGACCTGCCCCATCCCGCCAGGACAGCTCCCAGGCCAAACGCCCCCTCCTCGGGCTCCTCTGTGGCACGGAGAGCAAGGCCCTTCGCTGCGCCCAAGAGCCCGTGCGAGGCGGGCCCCATGGACCCACAGGCCAGAGCGGGCCCCCGGGGGGCAAAGGCTCTGCCAGGCTATGCTGCTCTGCCCTGCGCTGTGCCCCCCCTTGGACCGTGCTCCCGCAGCAGCCTCGCGCCCCCCCCCCCACGACTCAGCCTGCCCCGCAGGCACGGCCTGGTCCCAGCTCCCTTCCCCTGCTGGGAATCGGGGAGGCAAGGAGGCGGCTCCAAAGGGGGCAGGAAGGGCAAGCTCTGCAGCGCCCGGCGGCCCTCGCCCTCAAGCGCCTGGCGGGTTCACTTCTGCTTCACCTTTGGCTCTGGGAGAGCCGGCACCCAGTGCGGCTCCCCGGCGAAAGCGAGCGCTTCCCCAGCGCCCAGTCCTCTCGGCCGGCCGCTGCCAGCGGCCCGCCAGAGGTGCTTCCAGGAAGGCGCCTGGTGCGGAAGCAGAGCCCGCGCTGCCGAGCGAGCGGTGGGGAGACGTCCCTGCTTGCCTCACACCAGCCTGACCCATCCGAGGCTTTGCTGCCACCCGGACGGCAGGACCGGAAGTTCCCCACGAGCCTGAGCTCCCGCACCGCTGCATTAGCCGCCATCCGGACGGGGCCAGCCTCTGGCGCGGCGGCAACCGAGGCCGTGCAGGCCGGCGCAAGGCCAGCCCGGATCCGGCGAGGTCAGGCCCAGACTGCGTCTGTGTCCCAGGCGCCTCCCCCGGAAGGGCCAGCCGGGCTTCTCTGGACTCGGACGGGGGCCTCCCTGCTCCATCGCTCAGAGGTCTTCACCCTCGTCTCCGAGACAAAGACGGCGGGACCCGCCCTGCCCTGCCCCGCCCGGCGTGAGGACGGTTGGTCGGAGCAAGGCGATCGGCGAGCGAGGTCACGAGTGTCCGGAAGCGTCCAAGGCTTCAGCTGTCAGAGCAGGCGGGTCGGAGCCGGCTGTGCTGCCTGCGTCCAGGCAGCAAAGGTCAAGGCTGCAGCAGGTACCGCTCCTCATTCCCCCTCTCGTCCGTCTCGGAAGAAGGGCTCTTGTCGGGGCAAGAGGGCGTCTTGCAGGCCTTGCAGAGGATCAGGAAGAGAATGAGGACAAGGAAGGCGATGACACAGTTGAAGATGATGGCGACCACTGCCCCCGTGGAGAGACCTGCCCCCATTGTGGGTCCCCGGGCGGGGGAGGGGGCGGCCAGGGGGTGGCAGAGGCTGCTGGAGCGGGCTTGTGGGGGTCTCGCAGCTGGCTCAGCCTCGCGGATTCCGCAGCGCCATCCCTCACTCGCTCTGGCAGAGGCACTCCAGGCGAGCCGGACGGCTGCACCGCGCCCGGGAAGCAAGCCGGGCCTTCTAAGCGAGCGCCTCCGAACCGCCGCTCCTCCGCTGCCACTCGCCCTCCACGGGGACCGCCTTCTGGTCCGCCGAGGTCATCCTTGCACGTGATGGCGGGCTTCCTTCCACTTGGGCGCTTCTTTTCTTCCCCTGGGCGAGAAGAGGCACCAATGCCAGTGCAGCCAAGCCTGAGTGAGAGGCCCGTTTGCGGCCGGCGCTGACGAAGCGGCCAGGGCAGAGGAGGAGCTGGAACCCGTGCGGGAGCGCTGGCGGCCTGGTGACTCGCCTGGCTCCTGCTGCGCAATGCGGGGGGAAGGAGACGGTCCCCGCGGCCTGTTTGCCCGCTTCGGTCTCTCAGCAGTCCTCCAGCCAGGAGCCTGCAAAAGGGAAGGAATCGTCCGTTAACAGGGCGGGCGGCTCGTCCTCCTCTGCCGCGCCGGCCGGCCCACCGTGGCGGGTTTGCAAGTTAGGCCCAGAAGCTGCCGTGGCCCAAGTGCTCGCTTGCACACGGAAGCCGGGACACCACAGAAGTGCCCCTCCGCAGCCCAGCCTGCCCTGTGCCGCCCCTCCCCGCGCCCCCCACCCACGTCCACAGCGTCGGAGCTGCGTTCCTGCTCTACTGACACCGTCGCCCATCCGCGCAAAGGTCCGTCTGGCGGCCACCCTGCCTGCGCAGGGATCTGCCCTGCAGCGGAAGCCCTTTGGGGGCTCCCAACCTGCAAACGAGCCGGAAACGTCAACTGCAGCGCAAGCAGTGGAAGGGTTAAAACTGCAGCAGTGAACCAGCGGCAACCAGAGTGAGGAGCAGCAGCAGCAGCAGCAGCAGGATCCCAAACGCCTCTCAAATAGACTAAAACTCCAGCTCCTGGGGAAATGCGGCCTTCGCCTGGTGCCAGACAGGCCTCCCTGGGAAGACCCTTCCGTGGTCGGGGCCACAACAGAGGAGGCCCTCTTGCGAGGGACCCCCACCGGACTTCCCTTGGCAGGGGCTCCCGGAGGAGGGCCTCTGAGGACGGTTTCAGGGCCCAGGCTGGTGCACACGGAGGGAGACATCCTTCAGGTCCCTCGGAGCCCAGCCTGGACATGGATGCTGGGCCGGCGCTGGTGGAAAGGGACTGGCCTAACGGGATTGCGCTGGCCAGACCCCGGGAACCATCCTGCCACTTTTCTCCGGAGCAGCGGGAGCTTCCGGACTGTTTCCACACGCAGTCTCAAAAGGCTGCCCCCACTCGGGTCACTGCGCCGGCCCGTCCCCGGCCAGACAGTGTTGGTCAGCTGGCTAGGCTGTTCCGGGCCACCAACTCCACCGGGGCCTCAGGGGATGAGCCCAGATCCGCGTGCACCTCCAAACTACAGTCCGAGCCTTCAGGGGAAGTGCGGCCTTCGCCAGGGCAAGCGAGGTATCGCCCGTCTGGGAAGGCCAACTCTCCAGCCACGCCTCCATCTTCTCTGGGCCGAGGCAGTTCATTGCGCCTCATCCTTTCGGCTGCCAGGCCCGGGCACTCCCCGGGAGCAACCACTGCCTCACCTGCATTTGATGAGAAGGAGAGAAGGATCTGGGTGCCCCCCCCCCCATAAGCTGCCCCTGTGGTTTCACGGAAATGCTGAACGGCACGGGTGACGGAACGGAGCCCTGTGGAACGGAGCAGCGGTGCAGCTGCCAAGGCACCCGGGAGAACCTTCCGAAGACGGTCCTCCAGATGCATCCACCGCCCAGCCCGGGCAGCCCATCCAGAAGGACACGGTGGTCAATGGTCCAGGAGAGGTCCGAGAGTCAACAGAGCTGCACTGCCGCCCCTCCCGCGGAAGGGCCGTTCTGCAGCTCCTGCTCAGCCCCAGGCCTGGAGCCCCCGTGCCGTTCGAGAGTGCCCAGGGCTGGCCGGCAGCACCTGCTCAGGCACCTTGCCAGGAAGTGCCCCTGCCTCTCGCGCGTGCAACGGCATGCTAGGAGCCGCGGGCATCCTCGAGTCACCTGGAGACAAATGGGCGCGGGAGCACCCCCCGCATCTCTCACCCCCCCCCCCCCGCAGCTCCCACGGCTTGCTGCCAAGGGAGGAACCAGCCGCAATCTCATCCGCTCTTCCTGAATATCTGGAACTCCCGGAAGTGCCAACTGAACGATCACGGCCTCCTCTATTTAGGCCAGCTTCAAGGGGGCTTCCCCAGCGCGGAGGCCTTGCTCTGCCTCTCCAGGCAGCCCCCGGCACTTCTGGGCCGAGACACGGGAATGGCCACAGGCGCAGAGCCACCTCCCGGGAAACACGGCCACCTGGAGGAGCCCCTTCAGAGAGCGCGGCTCCACGGTGCCCCTTTGCGCTGCCCCCGATCGGAGGCCTTGGGAGAAACTCGCTGTGGAGGCCGAGGGCGTTCCAGAGAGTCCTCACCGCGAAGGACCCTCTGGACCGACCCTGGGAGCCCGAAGCCACTCCGGGCCCTTACAGCCATCGGCGAACCCCTCCTGGAAGGGGAGCCCGGTCCCCGCACGCCTGACGCCCGCCAGCCTGCTTTAAGGCAGCCCCTCGGAGGGCCT